CTTACTCTGGATACAGGGATACATTATTCATCCTTACCCTGGATACAGAGACACATTGTCCATCCTTACTTTGGATACAGGGATACATTATTCATCCTTACCCTGGATACAGGGACACATTGTCCATCCTTACTTTGCATACAGGGATACATTGTCCATATCCTTACTCTGGTTACAGGGATACAGTAATCATCTTTACTCTGGATACCTAGGGATACACCGGGATACATTATCTATCCTTACTCTAGGTACATGATACATTGTTCAATTTTCATACCCTCTGGTTACTTAATACATTGTTCGATATTCATACTAAAAAACTGTTTCTAGTACAGTGATAACCATAGATAAATAAATAAACATAGATAGCTTACGTACGCAAAATCAACAAGAATTGTACAGTCCGCAAACTCATACTTCTAGGGGTCAAAGTGTACTTCAATGATAAGAGGGGTGCTTTGGTGTTTTAATGGATTTCATAATAGAGTGTAAAAAAAATAAATGGAACTAAATGGAAATAATTGGAAAAATAAATAAAATAAATGGAACTATCTGAACAACAATATTTCACTGAGCAATATATCATATTGACGAGAACTGAAGAAGGACATGAGAAGGACTAAACTAACTTAGATTTCTCTCTACAGAACTCATGTACACCACAAGTACTCAATGACATAAGAATAGCCAATGTTCACAACCGACCTAGTTAATCTATATAATAGGAATAACTTTTAAATATCTCTGTACATTTACATCTTTCAAGTTGAAAAATGTCGTCTTATGCGCAATCTATCTTTATCTATGGTGATAACCAAAAAACTCTGAAATAAAAAGACGACTTTTATACTCAAGTTATCATTTTAAAATAGATCTATAAGCATGTGATGTGCACTGTGCAGTTTGAGCAGGTCCATTTCACTCAATTAGTGTTTTAAAACAATTTTTTAAAACAAATTTGAAACATCGAAGACACCTTATTTTTTATATTAAGTCGTCTTCCTATTTCAGAGTTTTCTGATTATCACTGCAGAAGGGAACAAAAATATTTTCTCCAAGATTTAGAATTTTCCGAATGAATTGAGTTGATTTAATTTAAATGAAATTTTCACCTGGAAATTGTACAAGTTTGCTCGTTTTCCCGTGTTTCCGGTTCCGCCATTTTCAAAGGATTCTATTTCCGCTTAATCACGTGTTGCTTCAAGTTTGTAACAAAAACTTGATATCTGCACAACAGGCTTAAAATCTAGTTTTACTTCAGAAATATTTGAATTCTTCTTGATCGAAAATTCAGTTATATATAGGAATAAATACATATATATATATATCTTCNTTAAAACTGGAATTTATGAAACTTTATTGTTTAAAACTGGAATTTATGAAACTTTATTGTTTAAAACTGGAATTTATGAAACTTTATTGTTTAAAACTGGAATTTATGAAACTTTATTGTTTAAAACTGGAATTTATGAAACTTTATTGTTTAAAACTGGAATTTATGAAACTTTATTGTTTAAAACTGGAATTTATGAAACTTTATTGTTTAAAACTGGAATTTATGAAACTTTATTGTTTAAAACTGGAATTAATAAAACTTTATTGTTTAAAGTAGAACTACTTGTATCTCTGGTATAATGATAGATAGAAATAGTTCCACAGTTTGGGATTCCCTCCTAATCTCTCTCCTCTTTCTCTAGGTTTGTTTCTACTTCTCTTCTCTTCTATCTTCTGTTGTCCTATACCTTCCCCCCTTATCTCGTCTTTCATTCATCGTAGATTTCTCGACTTCAAAGAAAAATAAATCTTTTCTCAAGTTTAAAGTTTAATTGAAATTCTTGAAATGAAAATATAAAAGGAAAAAAGAGAATACAAAAAAATAGCAAAACAATCGTCGTAGAGAAAACTAAATCATTCGTTGACGTTGATTCTCTGATACCTGGAATTTATATTAAAACTGGAATTTATGGTAGAAAAGAGTTGAACCTTGAATCTAGAATCTAGAAACTGGTAGAAAGAACTCGAAACCGGGTCATTAGACCCCAAAACTGAAGAAGGAACCTTGTAAAAGAACCTGATATGTAAACCTAGGACATAAGACACTTGTAGGAACCTGGTATCTAGAATCAGGAAACTAGTATAAGGAACTTAAAACCCAGAACATAGAATTTGAAGGAACCTGGTTTCTAGAACAAATGAACTAGTGGAAGTAACATGAAACTTTGTGGAACCTGATATCTAAAACCTTGAAACTAGTGAAAGAAACCTGGAACCCTAAACGTGGAACTTGGTGGAACCTGCAGTATCTAAAAAAAAGAAACTAAAAAAAGGAACATGGAACCTGGAACCAAGAACCTTTGATGAAACATGTACACATATCTTATTAATATTTATATTATTCATATTTTCTATTAAATACATGTATTATGTATTTTTATTAGAAAGAAGATAAAATATGTGTAATTAATCTTCATTCTTCTCTCTCCTTGCAACATGGAAACCCATTAGGAATTTATTTCGGATAAAGAAAATAGGAGTAGGAAATTTTCTCCTGGGTGTTCCAATAAACATGTCAATGTCTCCTACATTTTTTAAAATAAAAAGCAGAAGACCACACTTAATTCACATTTATTTTGGGACACCCTGTAGCTGTATAAACATAAACCTAGTCCCCTAAACAATTATAAACCAATCCAATGATTTCAATAGTATTGATTGAACTTCTCAAGGTTTCTCCTTGAAGATATATATAAATAAATAAATAGAATTTATTATGATAAAAATCCGAGGATTAATATTCATATGAAATAAGATTATACATTTTAAATTTGTTATATTGGTAAAAGCACACATATGTTCATCTATTACTATTCAGTAATCTCTGAATATATGGTATAGATGATCTCCCGTCCTGGCTTGAACAACTGTGAACAGATTCTGTTCTCTAAGGTAATGGTTGTGTAGAGGAATATTTCTCGGAAACAGGGATCTATGCATAGAGAATAGAATATATAGAGAGGAATTAAAAGAATCTCTCGGTATGAATTTTTTCAGTCCCTTTCAGCCTGAAAGGGAATTCAAAGTGTACAAATCATCTAAATGTGCACAAATTATATGCACAAAAGTACATTCATACAGTATGTTGCCTATACTATCCATTTCAACTTCGAATTTTTTAAACTGTTAAATAAACTTTATAATGAATTAGGTGAATAAAAACATCATTTGATTTATAGTTATAACGGAAAATCATCGTTTGTAAAGTGGAAGGCCTAGAGTCTATGTGAAATGATCATTGGTCAACTATGAAACCAGCCTATTTCATAATTTGGTTTTCTTTTAACAATAATTTTAGATTTTCTATAAAATGATATTCCAGGGCCCAACAGGTTATATAGCATAAATATGTGAAGTACACCTGCAGTATGGAAACAGTACAACAAAATGGCCGTTTTACACTTTTTTCTAGTAAATTCCTCTCTATATATTCTATTCTCTATGGATCTGTGGTTTGAGCTTAACAAACATTTTTTCTCGACGAACTTCTAGTGTTTCAAGTGCAGACTCATATCCTATATATTCTCGATCAAGTATTACCCTGAGACAGGTTTTCTGTACTCGTTCTAGTGCGCAGGTCTGGTTGACCGTCAGTGTGGAGTGCCAGACCACACAGGCATACTCCAGTAGGCAGGGTATAAACGATATATAGGTTTTGAGTGGATCCTGAGTGGACATACCAACATATTTTAATTTGCACAGCAAGGATATTCGAGAATTTGCCTTTTTGCACAGGTTTGGAGTATTTAATTCCCAATCTAAATCTTCACTTATCCATACACCTAGACGTTTGGTTGCTTACACCTTTTCCAAAATATTACTTTCTAGGTTCAGCCTCGTACAGAGTGAACCATATCTCCGGGTATATATCATGTATTTAGCAGAATTAAGCATCATTTTATTGATCCTTGTCCACTCAGAGATGGTATTAATATAATTCTGCGTGAGTAGATTAGATTGATGAATATTAAGTTGGTCAGTTCCTATATCCGATGGTACATGGAGCTTACAGTTGTAGGATGAGAGATTTCCAGAACAGGGAGAGAGAGATAAGAGTTCTAAGATTGTGAGATCATCCACATATTTAAATCTGAAGTCTGGTTGCACTAAATTAGCATTATCATTGCACTGGACCAGGTATTCAAGGACTCCCAGCAGGGTTCCCTGGGGACCTCCTCCAGGCATGTGGTAGGTAGAAGAAGTAGTTCCATTGAACTTCAATATCAAGTATCTGATTCATAGAACACCAACAGTTGAAGATATGTCTATTAATGGCTTATTAAATGATTTGGCAAAGAAAGAAACAAGTTAACAAGTTAATTAATGAGAAAATTAACTGTATAATTTCCGTACAGTCGATCTCTAAAGTTAACAAGTTAATTAATGAGAAAATTAACTGTATAATTTCCGTACAGTCGATCTCCTCAGTCTCATCCTATGTGGGTAAGCCTGTAATCAAATAAAATATTAAAAGTTTAAAGTTAACTAAGCTTCTGTAGAATATATTTATCTTAAAAACAAATTAAGATGTTAATATAGCATTGATAAAACTGTATGTATAATTGTCATACAATATATATATATTTATATATATAACATTATAAACATGTAAATCTCTTTTTTAATTGAACAATAAATTAATCATAATACTATATATTTTTACAATTGAAATGCGACTTTTCCAACAACAAAAATAGTGTGTTTTGAAAAAGAAGTTTCATAACTTATTATTGAAGTTTGGGAAACCATTTCCGAATATCGTCTTCGATTTGAAGAAATTTTAATTTTCGGAAACAAAGATACATTTATTGATACAAATTCATACTTTATTTTTTATTTTTTGTATTGTAATATTTTGATCCTTATTTGAACTTCGATCTTTGTTTTCCCGTCTACGTTCTAAGGCAAGGGACGGTGAATTATCTCTTCACAACAGGATCTTGTACTCTATAACCTCCTGATAAAGAACGTACGCTTGGACACTACAGTGCTTGATTGCTCTGCCTTCGCTTCAGTTCAGTTATTTACAATGCTTCTCACCAAGGCCCAATCAGTTCTCCGTGTTAAACAATGTCAGGCGTTCAGTACATCAGCTCTACGGAGCCAGGTTCCGGAGAAAGAACCTGTGGACGGATCTGAACCTATCCGTCCTGCTCCTGCTCAGATGGGTAAAATGACGGATATTGGAAGCCGGAAACTGTTCAGCACTGACCAGGATATGTTCCGTGAGTCTGTAAGGAAGTTTATGAGGGAGGAACTCCAACCCCAGCAGGAGAGCTTTGAAGACGCTGGACAACCAACCAGGGAATCCTGGCAGGCCATGGGGAGACAAGGTTTACTCGGAGTAAACATTTCTGCGGATATTGGAGGGATCGGAGGATCTTTTATTGATGAGATGATCGTTGCAGAGGAGCAGTCCTATGCATTTGTATCCGCTCCAGCTATGGCCCTTCACTCGACCATAGTTATGCCATACATAGCTCACTACGGAACCAAGGAACAGCAGGATCGTTATATCCCAGCTATGACTGCTGGAGATTGTATAGGATCTATAGGAATGACGGAACCTGATGCAGGTTCTGATCTCCAGGGTATTAGAACCAATGCTAAGAAAGACGGATCAGATTGGATAATAAATGGGAGTAAGATCTATATTACTAATGGTTGGCTCACAGATTTATGCGTAGTTGTTGCTAAAACTAAGATGGATGCTAAGAGAGCTGCGCATGGAGTTTCTTTATTCCTAGTAGATGCTGACACACCTGGATTTCACAAGGGTAGAAAACTCAAGAAACTTGGACTTAAGGGTCAGGATACAGCTGAACTATTCTTTGAGGATGTTCGTGTTCCAGCAAGTGCTCTGCTAGGTAAGGAGAACACTGGGTTCTATCAGCTCATGGAGCAGCTACCCCAGGAGCGTCTCCTCATTGCCGTCCACTCCATCGCTACCTCCGAGGCAGTGTTTGAGGAGACAAGAACCTGGGTGAAGCATAGAAAAGCGTTTGGTCGTCATGTATCTGATCTTCAAACTGTTCAACATAAACTAGCAGAACTCAAGACCTCTATAGCAGTGTGTAGAGCATTTATAGATCAATGTATGGAGTTACATGAACATAAGAAACTATGTGGAGAGATGGCTAGTATGGCTAAATACTGGGCAACTGATCTTGAGAACAAGGTTGCTGGGGATTGTCTTCAGCTTCATGGAGGATGGGGATTCATGTGGGAGACTAATATTGCCAAGGCCTATGCTAGCTCCAGGGTTCAGACAATCTACGGTGGAACTAATGAAATAATGAAGGAGCTTATTGCTAGGAACATAACAAAGCAATAAGCTGAAAATTTTGTTTTTATTTAATCCTTATCTTACAACCTTGTTTTTATTAACAACTATATATGTTATCTTATAGAATACAAGTTTCTTTGTTAAATCGAAGATTTTCAAATTTCTTAAGAATATAAATGTACTTTATGGAACCAATATATTTTTTTTGTCAAATATGTTTAATGTATATATTGGTTTGAAGAAAGGATGAAGAAAGAAAAGTCTGTATGTGTTTTTAAAAATAAATGAAATATAAAACAATATTATAAGGGACCAGGGGGGATAATATTAAAGATATAGAGGGACCAGGAAGTTAGAAATGGGCACCAAGTGAAAGCCTGGGTTTTTGGGATCCCGGCCAATATCCAGAGTAAAAGTCGATAATAAAAACTATAACCAACATTTTATTAAACATTACGAGGACAACACTTCCCAATTTTAACCTTTTTTTAAATCAAAATTATAATAGGAGTTCTTTTTATATTAAATCTCTCGACCGATTTCAAGACAATGTCAGGTTTTCCATTTTCGAACATATCCTGAATTTGAAACATATTGTCACGTTTTCGAGACAAAACCCACTTTCCCGTTTTTAAGTATAATCCACAATTTAAAACAAAACTCACTTTCATATCTTACAAAATAAATCACTTAAAACAAAAATTATCTTATGAAGACTACAAATTAACTTCTGAATTATTTGTAGTATCTAAGTTTCCACATTTTATCTGTTAAATTAGAGAATATGGATGATTTATTTTCAAGCATTTTAAACAAACAGTTTCCGCATTTCTAGTTAAATCTATATTGTAAGAACAAATGATATTAATATTTAGATGTCTAAATGCTTTAATGATTTTTAGTTATAAAAGGACAGTTTGTTTTATTTTCTATTTTGTTTATATTTTACCTTATCAATAAAAACTTGTTTTGTTTCGTAAATGCGTATACATGAAAATTGACATTGATGTGAATTCCGGTAATTGTCTCAAAACCAGGAAATTTTCCGAAAACGCGACATGAGCTGAAATCCGGTAATTGTTTCAAAATAGGGATATATTCGATAATGAAATCAATAATCATCAAAATCTAATTCTCACACCTTATTACTAGTTTAAAATTGACATTTATTGTTTCAAGATAAAGTTTTAACCATTTTTATAAATATATGGTGTAATCTTGTTCTACTCGTCTTGGATTTAAAGATATATACTCTTGAAAAAGATAACTATGCAGATTTGGCCCATTTCTAACACTCAGTGTTAGAAATGGGCCAAGTGTTAGTTTTGGAACTAATATCCCCTGTAGAACCACGGAAATGTTCTTTTCTTGGTTTAGACATGTTTTAAGTTGACTGGATTTACTTTTATACAGAAAGTTCAGATTCCAGGCAAAGCTGGGTTCCCAAGTTAGTTTACTGTAAAAAAATTGAAAGTAAAATTGAAGATCATATCTTTATTATTTAAGTTTAATTTTTGCATAAAATACGTTGTAATTTATAGTCTAAATTATAGATTTCACATTCATCTCTTTAAGATTAAGAATCCTTTATAAAAAGATGTTATTTCTAGTTTTGATAAAGATTGCAGAACTTGTATAAGAATGAACAGCTCCGATATGGATCGACTGTATCAGGGTGATCTAGAAAACCTTCCTCCTCTTTCAACCAAGGAACGAAACCCTGGACTTCAACTTTCAATAAATTAAATATTCTTAATTTATTTTTCTTGTTCAGAGATCAGAACTTTTGCAAGTGTTGTTTATCTTGTGTGCTGTATCTAAATATCCAATGTGGGCGCTTTTAAATTTGAGGATTTACAAAAGTTATCCATGCAGGATATGACCACCAAGGAAAATCAAAAATCATAAATCCGTAGTTCTGCATTAAGATGAGAATCAATGTTTAATCTCGATATTACCAATAAAAGTTCTGGCTTCAGGATGTGCACTCTATTGCATCCGGGCAAGGAACTAATGCAAGGAAAGTTTCAGAAGTGTACACATTTTTTGTACTGGAGTGTACTATCTTTGGGCGGAAAAGTAAACACAAGACGGATGTCACAGCCTGACATGGAATCCATTTTCACAAAAATAATCTATGAAATATTCTGGTCATAGAAAACTATTATGTGAATTTTCAAAATTATCAAAATTAAATGCTTTTAACCTCCTCGGATACTAGACGAACACTGATGCATCTCTTCTTGTTTACAAATTCCGCCCAGAGACAACTGGTTTCAATATGTACACAGAGTATACGCAACCGAAATTAACTTTCCTCGCATTAGTTCCTTGTATCCGGGTAATTTGACAGTATATTGTAAACATGCTGTCAAAAAACCTAACTATATACCTTAGAACCGAGCTTTTCCTTTCTTGTAAATAAATGTCAAAGGGACTGAAAAGGAAAAAGGAAAGGGGGTATAGGCTGAAACCTGAGAATCTCAGGAATTGAGTTAGACCCCTAAGAGTTCTATCTGATGTTCTTGTCTCGAGAAATTGACATAAAACTGTGTCAAAATTATACCACAACGTAAATATGTAAGATTTTATGTAAGATTCGTAGTATTAAACAGATCATATTCAACAAATAAGCAACCAATCTAAACCAACGATATCCCAGAGGAGCCTAAGAAACTCCAGCTTGCTCCGATCATTATTTGAATTTATTAATTTGTCATTTTTGATATATATATTTGATAATATTATTTATGCGTCCGGAACATGTCATCAGAACTCCAACCAATGGCAGTGCAGTATTATTGTCACGTGTCTCCGTCTCTATTTCGTGACAAGTACACTGCACTGCCATTAGATGGAGTTCTGGTCACGTGATACGGACGTATATCTTACATTTATACGTTTTGGTATAATTTTGACACCGTTTTATGTCACTTTCTAGAGACAGGAACATCAGATAGATGTCTTATAGGTATCCGTCTGTATTTAGTGAGCAGTACACTGCACTGCCATTAGATGGAGTTCTGGTCACGTGATACGGACGTATATCTTACATTCATACGTTTTGGTATAATTTTGACACCGTTTTATGTCACTTTCTAGAGACAGGAACATCAGATAGATGTCTTATAGGTATCGTTCAACTCATGAGATTCTCAGGTTTCAGCCTACACCACCATTCATTTTTCCTTTACAGTCCCTTTAATGAAGTTTGGATTTGTCGAGTGGAAATACAGGATGGATTTATTATAGGTCGTCCGTATCTTCACCAGCTCTACCTTCACGGATATGGTTCTAGAGAGAAATATTCTCATGGAACACGTTTATCCTAAACTCAAGGATTACTGCAGGGATAGATATGGGATTGAATTCCAGGTAGGAATCAAACTAGATGGAGAAGAAAATTATCTTAGAAGAAATCGTATTTTTGGAATTCAATATCTTCTAGGTTTATAAATATATAAATATTTCTATTTGTATGTAAAGTTTTTACAGTTTATAAATATTAATAATTCTAGATAATTATAGCTTTTGAATATTTTAGATATCAGTTATCTCTTGGTATTTCTAGATTTGGAATCTCTATATAAAGGAATTGAGTCTTTGTCACAAACTATGAATTTCTAATCCCTATATCTTTGCAATCCAATGCCGTAGACCTTAGATATTTCAAACTATGAATTCTGTTAGATGACAGAATCTAAGTTTGAAATATCAAAGGTTTACACCATCAGGAGGAAAAAATATATGCATTATAAAATCAGAGTTTGGTACAAAGACTTAATTCCTTTGACTTGTCTGTCTGTTTGTTTGTATCCAATAAACGTCAAAACGGGGCTGAACCGATCGGGCCCAAATTTTGTGTAGGACCTACCGTGACCCTGCAGGAAAGGTTTATAAATGAGCCAAATTAAAAAATTGTGTTAAAAAGTTTTTCATTTTGTAAAATTTTGAAAATGCGCAAAAAAATATTATAAAATCCACAAACTTTTTTGTTTTTGTTTTATACTGTACAAAGAGAGAGGCTCACAGATAAACCCACAAATAAATGTTGAAATAGAAGAAGCCCAGTATTTTAGATATCAGTTATCTCTGGGTATTTCTAGATTTGAAATATTTTAGTATCAGTTATCTGTGGATATTTCTAGATTAGGAATACTTTAGTTATCAGTTATTTCTGGGTATTTCTAGATTTTAAATATTTTAGATATCTTTTATCTCTTGGTATTTCTAGATTTGACATATTTTAGATATCTCCTTTATCTCTTGGTATTTCTAGAATTGAAATATTCTAGATATCCTTTATCTCTTGGTATTTCTAGAATTGAAATATTTTAGTTATCAGTTATCTCTGGGTATTTCTAGATTTGAAATATTTGAGATATCCTTTATCTCTTGGTATTTCTATAATTAAAATATTTTAGTTATCAGTTATCTCTTAGTATTTCTAGATTTGAAATATTTTAGTTATCTGATATCTCTGATATCAGATAACTAAAATATGGATATCAGTTTTCTCTGGGTATTTCTAGATTTGTAATAAATTCTAGATATCAGTTATCTCTAAATAAATCTAGATAGAAAACATTAAATTACTTTCTACTTACATACAGTTCAAGGCTTACTCAATATCAAGTCTAAGTATATTCTAGGTAAACTTAATGTTTACTTCAGGTGTACTTGAAGTTCAATCAAGGTTTGAAATTTACTTAAAGGGAGTGTTCATGGAAAATAAAAGGGGGTATAGGCTTACGGCGGAAAAAAAGAGCTTTTGATCGCAACTGATACTTCTATCTGTTGCGTCTATAAGGAGAAAATTGCTAAAAACTACTCATTTTGAAGAATCAATGAAGAACGTAGCGTCCATACAAATCAGACAGTTGCAACATTCTACTCGAATCGTAAAATAATCAATCTAATTCCAAACAAATCATTCGGATATTACAACTAATAGTAGTCGATTATTTTTCGACTCATTCGTGTATAGTTAATATTATATAAGATTTTTGATTTTTTTAAATAATATTTCGCTGGCGCTGGATTTTCGAACATTCCTGGAAGATATGAAAATGTCGTCTTCATTATCAAAAATCCTCGAAACAGGAGTAAATGTTTTCAAAATAAAAAGAAATATATTATGAAATGTCAAGAATATATATATGCGCCGAAAAATTATCGATGATTATTGGTTGTAATATCTGAATGATTTGTTTGGAATTAAATATTTTTTTTACGATCCGAGTTGAATGTTGCAACTTTCTGAATTTGTATGGACCCTACGTTCTTCGGTATGAGTCGTTTTTTTTTACAATTTTCTCCATATAGACACAACATGTAGAAGTAAGATTAATAGCGATCAAAAGCGCTTATTTTTGTCCGTAAGCCTATACCCCCTTTCGTTTTTCGTGAACACTCCCTTTAAGATTTATTTGAAGTTTGCTCTAGGTTTACTCAAAGTTTACTTGAGATTTACTAATCAAAATTTACTAGAAGTTTACTCAAGGTTTATTGGAGGTTTACTCAAAGTTTGTTTGAAGTTTAATCAACGTATGAAGCTTACCCAAGGTTCGAAGTTTACTAAAGGTTTGAAGCTTACTCTTAAGGTTTAAAGTTTACACAAGGTTTGAAGTTTACTAAAGGTTTGAAGTTACTAAAGGTTGGTTTGAAGTTTACTAAATTTTTGAAGTTTACTAAAGGTTTGAAGTTTACTAAAGGTTTCAAGTTTACTCAAGGTTTGAAGTTTACTCAAAGTTTGAAGTTTACTAAAGGGTTTCTTGAAGTTAACTCAAAGTTTACTTAAGTTTTACCCAAGGTTAACTTAAAGTTTACTCAAAGATCACTTTAAGTTTAGGATAGGTTTGCCAGAGGTTTACTCAAAGTTTTTTTTGAAGTTTACTCAAGGTTTACTTGAAGTTTAGGATAGGCTTGCCAAGATTTACTCAAAGTTTTTTTGAAGTTTACTCAAGGTTACTTGAAGTTTAGGATAGATTTGCCAGAGGTTTACTCAAAGTTTTCTTGAAGTTTACTCAAAATTTACTTGAAGTTCAGGATAAGTTTCCCAGAGGTGTACTTAAGCTATTTAAGCTTTCCCAACAATTAACTTTTATTTAAGTTTCTTTTTTAAATCTGAATTTCTCCTGGTATATTCAGAGCTGTGTATGGCGGAACTGGAAAACTGTCAGAAACTTTCAATAGGTAGATTAGTTTTCCATCCTAGCTCCACAACTTGAACTAGATCTTGATATATCCGGGCTTGATATCTACATTTTACAGATTCTATATCTATCTTGCTCGAAATTAACCATTAAAATAGTTTTGCTTATAAAATGAAAAAAAAACGGAAAATAAAAATGTCACTAAGACAAGAACTTTTTCTGGAATATTGCATTACTTTATATGAGTGCTGTCTTTACTGGATGAATTTCAACACGGGGAAAAATTAACAATTGTCAAAAAATTGTAAAAAAACGTTTTTTGATATTTTTAAAAAATTTTATCAGTTTTAACATTAGAGCTTGTATTAAACTGAAAATGTAAAAAAAAAAAAAAACTAGTTTTCCTGTTTTCAGGACCAAACTTTATATATTTCGGGGGACAAAAATATGGATACAGACCTATTCCATCGTATATTCCCACCAAGGTAAGAACTTGGCCTAAACTTATTTTTTAACCAAAAATTTTAGTTACAGTGAGATATAAAGGGTGAACCTAAAAAAACCCACACATATTACAAATTCTTCTCTAATTGTTTGATGCATTATGATTCAAACAGTTTTATTGGATATATTTTAGTGGTTACATATATATTTTAGTATTTGGAAACTTTTAGTAGTCTTCCTTCTGGATTTGACGGCCTTCTTTGTCTATAACAGCTCGTAGTCGGTGGGGCAGAGAAGCCATCAAATGTCTACATAGAGCCTTATCATCGTCAATCTCTCTCCATGCTGCAATGATGGCTTTCTTCAGCTGTTAGTCATTAGAGCATTATTTTTCAGCAACCTTTCCCTTAAGAATACTCCAAACATTTTCTTTTGGCCATAAGTAGTGATTTTGGCACTGAAATCAGTATTGATGATCTTTCCCCACTTTCTGTCATTCCTCACTCTTCTCCCATAAACACTAAGGAACATCCTTGCACACTCCACACGCCTCTCCTTATGCTCACCTGACATTTTCTGTACTTTATACTTGTGGTATGCCTTATATCCATATTTTTTCATGATTCTTACAACTGATGTTTGAGAGACTCCAACTCTTTTAGAAACAGACCGGGTGCTCCTGCGTTCCTTAATGTTCATCAGTCTCTTCACCTGGATGTTCTTTCTTCCTGGAACAGAGGGTGATCAGCACAGAACCCATGCATTGCAAACTTCTTCTTCTGGTAGACAACAAAGCATCTCCGGCTTTCTTTTTTGATTGCATTTATTGTGTCAGGACCGGGGACTGCACCAATATACAGCCACTTTATTATTTTACCATCACTGGCATGTGGCTTTTTCTGGAGATAGGTCTCTATCTGTGATTTCAAGATGGATTTAAGCTTTTTATCCATTTTTTCTTGGTAAATCCACGATCAACTGGTCCCGAAATAATAGTTTTGCGAATTTTCATCCATTATTAAATGGATTTTCTTAGTAATAATCCAAAAAATCCGTTTTGTGTGGTTTTTTAGGTTCACCCTTTATATAAAAGTTTTAAAAAATTGAACTGCAGCATTTGGTTTGAGAAAAAGGATTATAGATTATAATATTTGTTTTCTTAATGCACAATGCACACACATCGTTTCAATATAAATCTTTAGCGATCTGAAATAAGTGATCGGCGTTTTTTAGCTTAAGATTTCTATAGTTTTAATTTTAAAAGATCATCTGCAATATTAGATAAACGTCCTGAATATTATGGTGTATGTTTCTACAAGGAGTTTGATGAGATCCTGGTTGTGTTGGAGAAGATGGGTATGAATGTAGATGTTCTCAGGAAATGGTATAAACCTGACACTAACTCCAATCCGCCTCTAAATATTCTTCAACCTATAGATTCATATCTAGGTATGAGCAGAGATATGGCACAAGTCTTCAAACATAAATGCACAACGCTATACAATCGTAAAGGGATATAATAGTCAAAGGAAAACTTTAAAAATTGGATATGGTCGGGAAAAAAAATCAAATAGTCAAAATCAATTTATGTAATGTTATGTAGTAACTTACTGTTAGAATATCAACGTTATAACGGTTTATCATTTTCAAACCTCCGAAACAAACTATACTCTTTAAATTTTTTTTCAAATTGATATCATTCTAAACTTTAAAGATAAGAAGTAAGTCATCTCGTTTACTTTATTTCTAGAAAACTTCCTGAACCGTTCACAACCTCAGCTCCAGGTACAGGATGCAAACCAGTGGTGGAAAGTACTCCTGGAGCTGCAGAACTTGCTCAGGATAGGGGCTAAAAACCTACACACAAACGGACTTTTCTCACAAGTAAAATATTTTTCTGGAATTTCTAAAAATAATTTGAAATTTTCTAACAAGTTTAAAAACTAATACTGAGAAATATTTTTAATTTTTTTTTTAAAATCTCTTAATGGGACTGCAGCAGTAATTACGAAGGATTAAAATATCAGAGTTTGGGGCCAGAACTCAGTTCATTTATTATGCCTCTATTGCAAAAATCCGTACGGCGCACTTAAATAGAAGAATCAAAGTTGAAAGGTTATCAGATTGAAAAATATGAATATATCTGTCTTTTTTTACTCAGACAAAAGTTATAAGACTGACCCCGCATGGAGGGTCACTTAACATTATAAAGACAACCCTATTCATAAAATAAACTTCAAGTTTCTGAATCAAGGATTTCCTAAACTGTTCCTGTAAACTAGGAACAGCTGCAGAACTATCTGATGTCTGTAACAGAGAGGGAGGTGAGGAAAGGATGTATTAATGTAAACAATTTCAAGGATCATGTTATTGTTTACACCAGGATAATAAACAATATAAATCTGCAGTACACTAAGAAAGCAGGAGCGTATGTTGATTTAGGTAAGAATTGATTACTCGCTTCGAATCAATTTTTTTAAATTCAAATTTCTTTGCTACCTGATGGTGTACACTTTTGAACTGGCAGATTAATAGCTGAAATATCAAAGGTATACAATATAATATATATATATGTTGCAAAGATATCAACACTTTTGAATTTTAGTTTGAGGCAAGTAATCAGATCCTTTTCATTTTTTAAATTGGTTCTAAAGAAAGTTTTTTTTAACTTTAACATTTTTTATCTAAGTTGAGAAAACTGTGGACCAGGAATCAGCTAGGCTCCTTTCAAACCTCAGGTAAAGGTATATCAAAGAAATATGGAACACATGTATGATTTAGTTAAATGAGTAATATTTTTATCAATTTTTACTTCAAATATTATATATTGGTATCGAGAAAAAATTGTCAAAACTGAAATGAAAAGCAAGTGAATTTAATCTTTGCAAAAAACTCTAATTTTCTAATCCCTATATATTTAGAACCTTTTATATTCTAAACTTAGATTATTTGATTCGTAGTTTGAAATATGCAAGGGCTACGACATAGGGTTGCATAGATATAGGGATTAGAAAATCAGAGTTTATGGCAAAAACTTAATTCCTTTCTTTCTTTTATTCTAATCTCAATCACTTTAGAGATGTTGAGGTGAGAGCAAAAATGGAAAAGGAAGGAGGAATATCCAGGTATAAAATAAAGCACTGAAAATAGGGTTTAAAAATATTGTTTTTTTTCTTTCGGTTGATTAGACGGTTTGAGATCGAATGGATTGGTCGGGACGGACTATCTCCGGATACTCATGAGAAATATCTGAATGAGTTCGTAAACCATTTCTACAAGAGTGTTATGAAGCTGGTAGACCGGGGGATGAGGAAGGAGAGGTTGATCTCGCAGGATGAATCCTTGATTGAGATCATCTCTCATCTTCATTTATGTCGGAGATCCAATTATCTATTCCTTGGAAGAGAAACAGAGATATCAGTCCTCCAGAGGTACCTCTCAGGGTCCAGTAGAGACCCCTTCCTGGTGTTTGGGGAACCTGGAGCTGGAAAAACTGCATTTATCTCTAGAGTGTACGCCGGAATAGAAAGTAAACTTTTCTTCAGATAAAAAAAGATAACTTTTATAAAGTTCCGCATCAAAGATTTGCTGTTCAGGATCGAACGATGATGTAAAAATCTGCAGATTCTGTGGTTCTACTCCATCCAGCTCATCCGTCCTTACTCTTCTAACTTCATTAATACAACAGGTTATTAAAATATTAAATTACACAAGATAGAAATATAAAAAAATATATTTTTAGTTATCTTACAATCTGTCTCTCCCGTTCTCCAATATACCATCAGACATAGTTCCTATAGCAGAATACTTTAAGGTTAGGTTTTAATAACAAACTTGAGACAACTGGTCACTGAAACTATTATATAGTTTGAGAGAACAGATCAGGTAGTTTTTTAATAATATGATATAATAACGGATTTGTTTAGAGTTCTTTTAGTAGATAGATTTATTTTGACATTTGATGATTAGATAGGGGGAATTTATTTATACCTTTAATAATTAGATATGTTGGATTTATTTGGACATTTGATGATTAGAGAGGGTGGATTTATTTAAACCTTTAATAATTAGATAGGTTGGATTTATTTGGACATTTGATGATAAGATAGTGTGGATTTATTTGGACATTTGATGATAAGATAGGGTGGATTTGTTTAGACCTGTAATGATAAGATAGGGTGGATTTGTTTAGACCTTTAATGACTAGAAAGGGTGGAGTTATTTGGACATTTAATAATAAAATAGGGTGGATTTGTTTAGACCTATGATGATAAAATAGGGTGGCTTTGTTTAGACCTTTTGTGATTAGAAAGGATAGATTTGTTTAAACCTTTAATGATTAGTAAGGGAAGATTTGTTCAAACCTTTAATGATAAGATAGGGTGGATTTGTTTGGACATTTTATGATAAGAAAGAGTGGATTTGTTTAAACCTTTAATGATAAGATAGGGCGGATTTGTTTAAATCTATAATGATAAGATAGGGCGGATTTGTTTAAATCTATATAATGATAAGATAGGGCGGATTTGTTTAAATCTATAATGATAAGATAGGGCGGATTTGTTTAAATCTATAGTGATAAGATAGGGTGGATTTGTTTAAATCTATAATGATAAGATAGGGTGGATTTGTTTAGACCTTTTATGATTAGTAAGGATGGACTTGTTTGGACCTTTAATGATTAGATAGGGTGGATTTGTAAAATCCCTTCTATTTGATAATGAGATTGGGCGGATCAGTTTTTAAGCTCCAGAGCAACAATTCCCTTTTTAAGGCTCACCCTGTACCCTGTTTTTCAAGATTGTCTATTAAATATTAAACTTTAGGCTTTACTGAACCTGAGTTCGAACAGTTCTCAACTTTATATCATACTGGATGGAGTAGAAGAGCTTCAAGGTTGGGTTGAATTAGAAACCTGGATACCAAACCCACTTCCGGAGAATTGTAAACTTATTTTTTCCACCTCTAAACCTGCTCCAGGTATGGGTCTAACTATAGGGATCAAACATAAGTTTAAGTAAAATAATAAAGGTGAATCCAGAACTGTTTTTAACCAGTTGGAGAAACTAGTTCCAGATGAGAATCGTCTTGAAATTAAGGTAAGGAGGTTATGTCGGATGAGTTAAAAAAAGTTCCTATCACTCTGTTTCCTAGGAGTTGGGTTCAGATCTGGGTTGGAAAATGGTTGAGATGTGTTTAAACCAGGAGAAAAGAGCTCTTACAAGTTATCATCAGAGATTAGTCACTAGTTCAATAGAGGCAGATAAATAATGATATTAAAAAAATAGTCAGTAGATTTATATATATATATTAAATACAAAGTTATTAAATATTTAGTCTTGTTCTCTTCCTTTGTTCTGCAACCTCATCATTGCAGAAGTTAGGACCTGGAGAAGCTACGCTAAACCTGAAGATACTTTCCTTGCAGGTTCATTTATTTAAAGTTATTTTTAATCGTCAGCAATGTCTTCTTTAAAATAATATACATGCTTAAAGAGAGAGACCGGCTAGACATGGTGGTAAGCTGAAAGTGCAGTATTGTAGAGAAAAAAAAATAGGATTCATTTAATATAAATATTTTTACGGCGCTACGACATCTGCTCTATTTCCATTTGCTCTATGGCCATTTGCTCTAGTTCCATTTGATCTATCAAGTCATTTGCTCTATATTTAATAATCTGCTCTATACCTCATTTGCTCTATGACTAAACACGTCATTTGCTCTATAACCTAAAAATACACTATAAAATAGATTTTATTGGAGTTCGATATGCGGAAATTTTTTAGAAAATTTGCAAATCATTTAAACTTGCAGTTTTAATAATCATTAAAACTTGCAGTTTTAATCTGTTCTTCAAAGTTCATTTTGACAGTGCGACTGCTCAATAATAGGAGGAGTAAAAAAAACCTAATGTGTGATGGTTTTCTAAGAGAAGAAGGTCTGCATGGTGCATCAAAAAGTTCATGATGCTAGGGTAAATGCTGTAGATCTTCTTTCTCCTGGTTGTTCTTCTAGGAAGCAATACTCAAATCACAAGGAAATGTTAATATTTAACTTGGTATCTCGCTATGCACACAAATACCAGACAAACAAAACCAGGAAGTTGGCGGAATAATGAAGAATTGTAACATGTTTTATGTATCTTAGACATAGCAATACGTAGTTTTAATATGATAGGATATTTGTAAAATATGTTTATAGAGCAAATGAGTAATGACGTGTTTACTCATAGAGCAAATGTTGAGTAGAGTAACTGGACCAAGACAGTCATAAAAATGTTTATGCAGCAAATGACGTGTTATGTCATAGATCAATTGACGTATAGAGCAGATTACATATAGAGCAAACGTCGTGATCTATGAGCTATAGAGCAAATGGAACTAAAGCAAATGGCCGTAGAGCAAATGGAATTAGAGCAGATGTCGTAGCGCCAATTTTACGGTGCACAATTGTTATGTCGGGTCCGGGTTATTAAATAATTGTAAAAAATGTTTCTTCTGCTGGCTAAAACAACTGGTGAAATATTATGAACGACCTTAAGCTTGTATTTTAAAACTGTACACCGTAAAAATGTCTCATTGGTATCAAATAAATCCTAAAGTTTGTCTCTACTGCACTTTCAGCTCAACTACCATGTCTAGCCGGTCTCTCCCTTTAAATTAGGAAATATCAACCTCGGGATCTCGATGCTCTTACAGAGAATAGAAGAAAGGCATGGTTGGAACTTTGTATCCAGGAGCCTTGGATATCTTACTGCAGCTAAGGTATATATTTAGCTTTGTATCCAGGTACTTTGGATACCCCACTTCAGCTAAGGTTTATACTTACTTTATATCCTGGTTCAATATATATCTAAGAGAAGCTAATGTATTTTTAACCTTGTATCCAGGTGCATAAACTCTACCGCTTTAGACTGGATTATCAGAGTCTGAGATTGAAGATCTAATATCCTTGGATGATCGAGTTCTGGAGGATATCTATCAGTATCATCTACCTCCTGTCAGACGAATTCCTCCTTTGCTCTGGACTAGGCTGAGAGCTGACCTACCAGGATACTTGGCGGACACACAGGCAGACGGGATTATTGTTCTTAAGTGGTATCATCGACTCTTTAGGAAAACACCCCCCCCCCAAAAAAAAAAAGTATATTTTTTGATGATTCAAAATATATTTTGAATATTCAGTTTAAGCTAAAGTTTTGATTTACTTTTATGATTTAGCCTAAACTTATGTTATAAAGTCAAGGTTGGGTTTCATTCAGGACTGCAGCTAGCTCCAGGTATCTCAGACCTGAAAGAGAAACTATAGAAATCCATTCGCTTCTAGCAGATTACTTTCTTGGTAGGATTGATACATATATAAAAAACTAAAAACCAACCTCCCTTTGAATGTTCAGGAACTTTTGGAGGAGGAGTTTCTAAACCCTTCCAGTATACGGAGTTACAAAGACACAGGTTCAATCTCAAATCCAAGGTTGGTTCAGGAATAGATTAAGATAAATATAATTAGACTAAAGTTAAAGTAACTAAGTTCTTGATACAAACGCTGTTTTTTAATTACAATATCTGTGCAACCCAACGTAATTCAAACTGTAAATTCTGTTAGATCAAATAATCTAAGTCTGAAATAGGACAGGTTTACAGGTTTACAGGTTTACACCATCGAAAAGATAAAGTGTTTGGAAAATCAGCATTTGGGGCAAAAACTCAGTTTCTTTACCTGAAAGTGTTGTGAAAGGAAAAAATCAAAACTTGTTTCTAGGATGCCACAGCTGATAGACAAGTTCCAACAATGCCACTCATCTACAGTCGAGGATATCATTCTACTCAGGGTTCAGAATCTCCTGACCCTGACTCCAGGAGTAGTTTCAGATACCCTGTTAGATATAACCTCAGAAAACTGTCTGAGCTTCCATATCATCTAGTTCGAAGCCGGAGGTTTGTTATTATTTACTCTTGGTTTTCTGTTTTTTTTTACGAATCTTAGTTTAGGTTTCAAGATCTGTTTAGAGTCTGTCTGTTTAATTATCAATGGATTCACACAAAGGTTTGTAATCATTTTAAACTAATATTTCATGTTTTTATCCTGTGTTATTTAGATACAAGGATGCTCTCTGGACTCCGTTCTATCAGATTACAAGGTTGCACAGGAAACCCTAATCAAACTAAACTCTCCAGGTTTTCATTACACTTTTAATTAAAAAATGTGATAATTCTTGAAGTAAAGTATTTAAAAGTGAGAATGTAAGTAGAAATAAACAGAACTTTACAAATTTGCAATCTTTAAATCAATGTCTAGAACTCTGTTAAAAATGATGGCGCTTAGCTCGAAATCAAATATGTTCATAATTTTTTAATTTGAGGTTTAACTTCTTAAATCAGAGAAGGTTGTCGATTCGTTTTTCCAATGAGGTAGATCAACGTCTAAAGTTGATCCGTCGTTGGGGAAATGAATCATCTGAGCGCTAAAGTCAATTTTATAGATACAAAAGTGTTTTGCCCTCATGATATATTCATTATTTTATCTTTCAAGTTCACGACTTAACTCGGGACGACGGGACTCCAGCTTCATTCTTCATCATCCTGATATCTGTATCCTTTCCAGCTCCTTTCTTCATCATCCTGATATCTGTATCCTTTCCAGCTCCTTTCTTCATCATCCTGATATCTGTATCCTTTCCAGATCCTTTCTTCATCATCCTGATATCTGTATCCTTTCCAGATCCTTTCTTTATATTCCTTATTTTATCTTTCAAGCTCACGACGGGACTCGGAGAGAACTAAACTTGGTGAGAAACAGTTTAGTCCTGGGAGGAAGAGTTCTCAAGACTAATCCTGACATGTTGGCTCCTCAGCTTTTAGGACGGTTACTCCCGGAGCGGAGTAGGACGAATATAGGGGTTCTTCTCCAACAATGTGAATCACTAGCTCCAGCAAATAACGCTTTATGTAAGTTTCTTTTATTCAATATCCTACTTAGATTTATATTTTACAACCTGTTAAATATAAACAACTTCGAATGTTGTCTGAAGAATGATTTAAAAAATAGTTTAAACTGTTGTAAAGTGCCTGCTTACCACTGCCTTCATTCTCCGGGTGGTTCTCTTAAAATCTGCCTTGAAGGAAGTAAATTCGCTGTCTTTGATATCAGGTAGAGTATAGAGCTATGAAATATCTAAATATTTGGTAGAAGCTGATCAATCTCTTGTTTGGTTTCAGAATATCAGCGGACAGAAGATATTTGTATTCAATATCCAACCAGGGAATAATTCAACCAACAGAAAGTGTATAACTATTTAAAAAAAAAAAAAAAATTTAATTCTTATTTACAGAATTATTTTTAAATTCTGGTTGAATTTTCAGATCATTACCTGGGATCTAAACTCAGGTTAGTCATTGAATCAATGAATATTGAATATACAAAAAAGGAATAATCTAAATCATTTTCTCTTGTAGGTTCTTCTTTATGCTTTTTTATCATTATCCTTCTTTACTATTCTATTTCTCCATACATATACATCCTTTAAGAGGAATTTAGTCTTGGCAACATATACTCTGATTTTCTAATCCCTCTATTTTTGCAACCCAATGGTGTAGCCCTTAAATATTTCCAACTATGAATTCTGTGAATCCAGCTCCATTCTTCATTCTACTAATATCTGTATCATTCCCACCTCCATTCTTTATCCTACTAATACCTGTATCTTTCCCACCTCCACTCTTCATTCTTCTAATATCTGTATCATTCCCACCTCCATTCTCTATCCTACTGATATCTGTATCCTTTCCAGCTACATTCTTTATCCTACTAATATCTGTATCCTTCCCAGCTCCATTCTTCATACTACTAATATCTGTATCCTTTCCAGCTTCATTCTTTATCCTACTAATATCTGTATCCTTTCCATCTCCATTCTTCATTCTACTGATATCTGTATCCTTTCCAGCTCCATTCTTTATATTACTAATATTTGTATCCTTTCCAGATCCATTCTTCATTCTACTAATATCTGTCTGTATTCTTTACAGCTCCATTCTTTATCCTACTAATATCGGTATCCTTTCCAGCTCCATCCTTTATCTTACTAATATATGAATCCTTCTCACCTCCATTCTTTATTCTACTAATATCTGTATCCTTTCCAGATCCATTCTTTATCCTACTAATATCTGTATCCTTCCCAGCTCCATTCCCTATCCTACTGATTTCCAGAACTGTTTTCTGTTTCTACAGAACTTGTAATATCAAGGTTGTGAGATAAAGCGAATATCTCCAGGAGCTGAAGGATTACTGCTAGGGATGGATCTAAGTATAGACTCCAAGTACCTTGTAGCATACACCAACAACAACCAGATCGTCTTCCTGGAAAACCTGACAGGACAATTCAAACTTTTCAACAATCCTTTATCAACAGAAACTATCCTTGGAGTCAAGTAAACAAAATATAAAATATGTTCATGAGATTTTAAAAAATTTAGATTTTATTGTCATACAGTGAAACCCATAAAACTGTGAAATATGAAGCAATTTTTCAGTGAACACAGGCTCATTTTGCTAAATAGTAATATTTTTAAGCTTCGGGGGGTAAAACTATTTGATTTATAACAACATGAAATGCTCATTAAATTGCTGTCATCAAATCATAGTCAGAGCAGCTTAGATATGATTCATAGAGCAAATTACTCGTACTTTGACTAGATCTGAAATCAAACCAAGTTTCCAACCTCCAGATTTTTTGTCTAATGAATGCACTTCGACTGTGATCTGAAATCTAACCTTGTAGCTACGATCTCAAATCATATTCAAAGTCAAAGCAAGTTACAGCTCCTTTAAGGAATCATACTTGTTTAGGATGAAAAAGAATGCTTTTGCCGTGTACGGGGCATTCACATGCGTATTCTTTAACCTTTCTTGTCAAGAGTTAGAAAGGAACAAAGTTCGAAAGATTTTTTATCAAGTTTTTTTAGCCTTTCAAATGAAATTAAACTCACAAAAAGTGAATTAAAAAGATGTAAAAAAAGGTAGAAAAGTGAGTCTTACTTATAAATCTTTTCAACTTCGGACCTATGGTTGAAGGAGAGTACTGGAGAATGAAAACATGCACATTTTGGAAGTTTCCTTTGTCTCCGAGTCTGATTCCTATGTGGTGTGGTGGACAGGATCAGAATCGGATCCAAGAATGAGGTTGACTTGTAGAAGAGATCAGAGTATCTCCAGTCTTGGGTTCCACTCCGTGTACTGTATGAGTGTAGATATGAGAACCCTGTACTGTTGTGATGACCTGGAGAATTACAATATAAACCAATTTATCTTGGACGGAAATGATTGGAAACATATTAAATATTTTAGGTAAAGCACTGAAAAATATATACTTTTTTACAATATCTGATTACTGAAATGCTTATTTTTCAGTTGTGAGGACGAACTTATTATGATATCTTTGGAGAAAGAAGAAACCGTCCTAACCGCAGCGTTCAATTCAGGATTTATTCTTTTCAACCTGTTTAAGGAGACAGACCCATTGATTCTTCGATTTCCAAAGGGTGTGAATAATCTAAGAATCCGAAACCAGTTTGCGAGTAGATGTGCTCTGTTTGAAAACCTAGCAGTTTGTGCTCTCCGGCGGGATATTTATATTTGGAACCTGGACACAGGTTCATAAAAATATCAACATTTTAACTATTAATTCAAAAAAAATTATGTTGGGTGAAAGACGACTTTTTAAATTGATTTTATTTTTGCTTTTAATTATCATTTAGTTTAAAAATTAAATGGTTTGAATTGAAAATTGAGTCTTTGCCAAAGACACTAATTTTCTATTCCCTATATCTTTGTAAACTGATTGTGTAAACCTTTGATATTCCAAACTTAGATTATTTGATCTCAAAGAATTCATAGTTTGAAATATCTAAGGTCTATGACATCCGTTTGGAAAGAAAATTAGAAAATCGGAGTTTGTGGCAAATATTCAATTCCTGTAAGGTTTGCTGGAGAATGTTCTAAGTGCTCATGTTGGACGCATTCTGGGGATGTTTCCTTTGCATCAAGCGGAGAAAGACTTAGTAATAACTTTCTCCGGAGATAGAACCATCAAGGTTAGAATAATTTCTAACTCCGGAGACAGAAGTATCTGGGTTAGACACTACTCAAATATTAGGGTTTTCGGATTTATCAAATTGTACAAAAATCTGATTGTATATTTTTACTTGACCAAATATTTTTTAATTCACATTGAGAACTAAATCTAACATGTACATCCAAGAAAAATGTATAGCTTTATGCGCATAAAGAAATATGTGCATAAAGCACATTTCAGCTTCTCCCATGGTCAGCTTTAGTGCTAGCATGTTTGTAAATTATCTTGAAGTCATGATAAACAAGTTCACCATTTTAATCAGAATATATCTTTAAGGGTTTTTAAATGAGAAGCAAAGAAAAAAATTATTTTACCTATTTTTAGCCCGAAAAAGCCATAATTTTAACAATTATGGGTTGATTTTATAAAAATTAAGAGAAACCAAGTAGAACCATTTAATAAACAAATTACCAAATCTGTTTATCATGATTGTAAGAAAATTCATTGATGTTTTAGAAAGATCAATCTCTAAATCTGACCATGGGAGAAACTGAAATGTGCTTTTTGCAAATATTTGTCTATGCGCACTGAACTGCATAACCGACAAATCAAGCCAATTTTTGCTTTTGTATTTCGTTAGATTTTGTTCTCAATGTGAATTAACTAATAATTGGTCAAGTAACAATAAAAAATGATCGCTTTTTTGTACAATTTGATAAATCTGAAAGATCTAATATTTGAGTAGTGTAGAATAACTCCAACTCTGGAAACAACATTATCCAGTAGAATTTTTTTTACATTTTTTGCTGATCCTTATCTTGTGTAGGTTTGGGACCTGGAACTACGGAACGAGGAAACCCATGAACTTCACAGCCAGGATTTGGCTTCCAGGATCATACATGTTCCAGATACAGGGTATGGTTTTTACTCTGCTTATAAGGAAACAGGATAAAACGTTCAGAATACAAAGTGAATTTTTTAAGTTTGGTATAACATATCTCAAAGAGATTATTCTCAAAACTTGATTATCACACCTAGTATATTCTTTAAAGATTAAACATGGTTAACGTATTCTCTTTCTCCAGGACGAATGTGTTTACTGAAACTAGAAACTGTGTATGTATCTGGGATTCTAAAACAGGACGTATTCTCAGAAAGATTTCAGAGTCTCCACTTGGTGCAGTCATTACACAGTCAGTTATTTCTAGGTTCAATCTGTATTTTTTTTAAGCAAAATATTAATTTGATATTTTGAGGCCGCAAATAAAGAGCTTAGTCTCGAGTCTTAATTCCTTAGTCTCAACTTTAATATTCAAAGTGAGGTCCGACTAGTCGAAGTGATTTGCTGGTTTAGAATTAGACTCAACTTGAGACTTTTTATTATTTAAATCATGCAGTCTCTGAACATGTAAACCCGAGTCTAGTTGGGATTATATAATTTTGGGTTCGGGTGGTTTAAAACATGTTTAGGAGAGAAAACCTCCTTTTAACAAGTGAATCCTTGTGTTTAGGAACGGAGACCTCCTTGTAACAAGTGAATCCTCCTGCCTGTGTATCTGGAACCTGAAAACTTATAAACTCCTTCTAAAGGAGTTTCTGCCAGACATAATACAGTTCATTCTCTGGGACCTGGACAGGAAACTTATCATTCTTTCACAGGTTTAACAGAATTTAACATACTGGGTGTCCCACGAAGCATGACAGTAGCTAGACGACTTACAGGTCGTCTTAGATCTTTGAAATTATTGCAGCATTCGTTCGCAAACCTACTTTTACATGCCTGATTCTTGAAACAATAATCACATTCACAAAATTGAAAACTGAACAAAATTCTATTTGGAAATGCCTAGGGGTGTTCGTGATTATAAGCGCTAGCATTATACTTCTAAATTAGGTTTACGAATAAAATTCAACAAATTATTTCATGTTTCGTGGAACACCCTGTATCTAAAAAATTATTATTTCTAAATTTGTTATTTGTTTGATCAGGAGAGTGCTGGATCGCTTACAAGGATAATAATCCAGTGTAGGACACTTCCTAAAGGATCTTCTGTATACAAGACGAGTGTTGGAGCACTGAAACCTAAACCTGGATCCTTGACCTGCTCTGAACTCTGGTTGGTAGTTTTAGGTTACGAGAACCAGCTTCAAAATATCTCAGGTAGCAAATTTATGCACGGAGAAATTAGTCCTAGCTTTAATATTACCTTATAGTGTTCCACACCGCTACTGGAGATTGTCTTTACACCCTGAACCCTAAGGGTCTTCTCACCAAGGATGTTCTCCGTCTAGTTCCAGTTCAGAGTAAACCCTACTCCATTGGTATAATAAACTCAGAGAAAGGAGCAATCCTAGACATCAAAAACAGGTGAGAGGATGGATTTGAAAGAAGTTTTCGGTTCTGGTCCATATGTGTTTATGTTAAGAAAGATTTAACTTCTTTCTTTTCTAAATATACAGAAGTAGAAATTAAGCAAGTTGAACATTGTTATTTTTTTCTTTTTTTTAAACATACATTTTGATATTTAACATTCGGAATACTTCTAATTTTTAACATTTTGACATTTTGGTCCTTAAATATTTTATATTTTGACTTTTTGATATTGTTGACAGAAGAAACAACAAAACTTATCCTGGTTGGAATGGATCTACGACAAGTGATGGAAAGATCGGAGTCAGGAAAATAATTATTTTTAAGTTTTTTAAAAGAAATCTAAAAAATCGCTAGAAAAAAATCCTTCCCGCTCTTCTCGCATAGTTAAGATTTTCAGCTTCTAGTTTTTGTGTGCAAAATATTTCATTTAACACTTTAAATATTCAAGGATAAAAAGTAAATTTTTACTAGCTCATAAAAGAGGGGGATGAAAATTAATTGCTATACCTTCTTCTATATATATACTTTGCTTTTCTGTCTGATTGTTTGTATCCCATAAACGTCAAAACGGCTGAACCGATCGGGCCTAAATTTTTGTGGGACCTCACAAGACCCGAGGAAAGGTTTAAAGATGATCAAAATTTCAAAACTTTCCCTCCAAAACAAAATTCGATTTTCCTTAAATTTTGAAAATCCGCGAAATTTTTTTGTTTTTGTTCTATACAACGTATTCTAAGAAAAAATGTTTATAATTGAAATAGAAGATAGGCGCGAAGCGCCGCGAAAACCTAGTAATATATAAAGGAATAATCTCTGTTTGTCTGTCAGTTTGATGTCCGATCATAACTCATGAATACTTTGACCGATTTTCCTTAAATTTTGCTTGGGAAACTAGATAGGTACGTTTTTAGCTTTGTTTAAATATTCTAGGCTGAGTGGGCTGACTGACTCAAACTCTCATAATAAACTGTAGTTTAGACTTTTTTGAGATTAGGATCATTCAATTCATCCAAAGAAGACGACCTTAGAGTTGTACAAAGGGGAGGGGGTCGCTCAGCCCTCTGGATCAGTAAATTCCTGTTTAAGGCCCGTGGACGACCTATCATTCACTTTTTATCAAGAAATCTTTGGTAAATCGCACTGCTTTTGCGTTCTTTTTATTAATTTAGAAAGAATATAAAAATATTTGGTATTAGTGCACCCTGCAGAGGAGGATTAGGTTTGCTTGATATGAAAACCGGAAATATTTTCAGGACTCTGATTGGTGAGAAAGCTTTAGTAATTTTTCTTAAAATAAAATATACAATATTTTTCTTTGGAACTTTTACATGTATTTATCTTCAACTTATTCATCTATGATTTTTCTGAGCAAAAAGAGATATTTTTTTCAAATTTGTAAATAAAACGGTGAGAACCACAAAACTGTGGAATCTTTGTCGCCTTTGTCCTAACTTGAGAAATGACCTGAGAAATGTCGCAAAGAATTTTATAATTTACATTTTTTCAATTAATAATCGTTCTCCTTAAATCTATTTAATTGAAATATTTTGTTATTATTACTAACATTAGGTGGAAAAAATAATCAAAACAGCCAAGAGCTATTTTCCACCTAATTGCTTTATACTTGTACTGTTAATATAATCATCAATTTTGTGATTGTAAACTCTATCTGTATACAGATACATTTATTTTAGCAATAAACGTTATCTTATCTTATCTTATCTAACTTTTGGGCAAAATACGATTGCAAATTAGAAAATATTCTTAGCGTCAATTAACAATTAAAAGAGGAAAGAAGACGACAAGAATGTCACAGTTATCTGGTTTTTACTTTACTTTAGGTAGTTTTAGGTTTTCAGCATTAAGTTTAAATATAGAACGGAGGTAGGCGATTATATCAATATAGTGAAGACGACTTTCGATTTTATATCAAGCTTTTCACCAGCATGGATTAAAAAAAAAAACATGGAAACAAAGAGAAGTTGTCATTTAAAAAAGCTTCTCTTTAATTACTTGTAAACTTGTAATTAAAAAGGCGTTTAAACAATTAAAACTTTAATAAAAAGTCGTCTTCGTTATATTGATATAATGGCTTACCACCGTATTAAAGATGCTATTTTAATAGAACGAAAGAACGATGGTCTCCATCAAGTTCTCAGTTTCCTGGATCCAACGGAGAATATTGCAATCTACTATTCTCCAGCTCTTCTCTCCATCCAGATATTTAGGTATACATGAGTGATCTCTGAGTTGTGTCTAACAGAAATTGTCGTGTTTTAATAAAGGAAGACTTGCTGTGTTTTTTCTTCTTCAAATATTTACTTACTCTTATAAGAAATAAATCAAACCCTGTTCCAACTGAACAATATTGCAAGACGACATTACAACCAGGAGTAGAATTAGGATTAGAGGGTAGAATTGCAGGAGTAGAGAGTTGAACAAGGAGTAGAACCTGGAGTAGAGGGTTGGAACCAGGGGTAGAGGGTAGAACCAGGATTAGGGGTCAGAACCAGGAGTAGAGGGTAGAACCAGGAATAGAGGGTTGAACCAGGAGTAGAGGTTAGAACCAGGAGTAGAGGGTAGAACAAAGGTTAAAGGGTAGAACCTGGAGTAGAGGGTAGAACCAGGAGTAGAGGGTAGAACCAGGAGTAGAGGGTAGAACCAGGGGTAGAGGGTAGAACAAAAGATAGCTGGTAGAACCAAGAGTAGAGGGTAGAACCAGGAGTAGAGGGTGAACCAGGATTAGAGGGTAGAACCTTGAGTAGAGGGTAGAACCAGGAGTAGAGGGTAGAACCAGGGGTAGAGGGTAGAACCAAAGATAGCTGGTAGAACCAAGAGTAGAGGGTAGAACCAGGAGTAGAGGGTAGAACCAGGAGTAGAGGGTGAACCAGGAATATGAAATTTTGAAAGTAATAAACGACTTCTCTTGCGTGGCAGGTTCAAGTTAAAGAGAAGTGGTTAACTATGTAAACTTCTAGCTGTTTACTGAATCTGATCCCCGGATTGGAAGAATTAATAATCATATTTTTTAGGTTATCAGATGGATTAAGGATAGCCAACTACTCCGAACCGGTAAAAATAAATAATCATTTTGAATTTGAGAAAAATGTTACAGGTTAATTAATCATAATTAGAAAACTTGTTACTGTATATATTTCCAGAGAGGAATCGACTGTTTATCTGTCAGCAAAGACGGACAGTCTTTATTTTACTCCAGTAAGGACGGAAAACTTGTCAGGAAAACAAATCTAGCTCACCTGTCCCCAAACCCAGACCTACCTAACGATTGATAAACTTGACCGAGGATTTAGATATGATCAGGGGGGGGGGGGGTTAACTGAGTTCATGAGTATTGTATTGTTAAAGAAATTTCTTGCGGGGGCTTTCCATGGAACGCCCAATGCTCCCTGCTCTAGGGCTAGAAAGGTTCAATATTGGCAGATAGGAGGGTAGGGAGGGAAGGGGGGGGGGAGATTAATCATACGGTCAGTCACAAAGTTATAAACCAAGGCTGGCAATAAAGATTCTCTGGGTTCTATATCTAACTAATAATGGAAGTATGGATAGATTCCTAGTCTCTAAGTTGCAAGAATATCTAACTTTAAGACTTGGATAAATGAAGGTAGAATGAAGGGAAAATGAGCTAGATTTGAACTGCTTAGGTTGAAAATATGTTTGGGATGAGATTAACGACAACAAGATCTGGAAGTTGCAATGAAACTACAATAAAATGTAAATAAAAAACTTTATGGTTTATAAATATGTATAATTCATAATAAATGATGTTAACTTGCGATTATTAATAAATAAATATCCATCTCAATCACGTCAATCGGTTCTTGGCATTTAAAAAAGGTTGGTTTAATCTTTAACAATGTTTCTTGCAATAAGCTCCTTCATTATCTCATTAGTTCCACCGTAGATTGTCTGAACTCTAGCATCAGCATAGGCCTTGGCAATATTAGTCTCCCACATGAATCCCCATCCTCCATGGAGCTGAAGACAATCCCCAGCAACCTTGTTCTCAAGATCAGTTGCCCAGTATTTAGCCATACTAGCCATCTCTCCACATAGTTTCTTATGTTCATGTAACTCCATACATTGATCTATAAATGCTCTACACACTGCTATAGAGGTCTTGAGTTCTGCTAGTTTATGTTGAACAGTTTGAAGATCAGATACATGACGACCAAAAGCTTTCCTCTGCTTCACCCAGGTTCGAGTATCTTCAAAAATAGCTTCACAGTGAGCAGCAGAATGCGCAGCAATGATTAAGCGCTCCTGGGGTAGCTGCTCCATGAGATGATAGAAACCTGAGTTCTCCTTACCTAGCAGAGCACTTGCTGGAACACGAACATCCTCAAAGAATAGTTCAGCTGTATCCTGACCCTTAAGTCCAAGTTTCTTGAGTTTTCTACCTTTGTGAAATCCAGGTGTGTCAGCATCTACTAGGAATAAAGAAACTCCATGCGCAGCTCTCTTAGCATCCATCTTAGTTTTAGCAACAACTACGCATAAATCTGTGAGCCAACCATTAGTGATATAGATCTTACTCCCATTTATTATCCAATCTGATCCGTCCTTCTTAGCATTGGTTCTGATACCCTGGAGATCAGAACCTGCATCAGGTTCCGTCATTCCTATAGATCCTATACAATCTCCAGCAGTCATAGCTGGGATATAACGATCCTGTTGTTCCTTGGTTCCGTAGTGAGTAAGATATGGCATAACTATGGTCGAGTGAACAGCCATAGCAGGGCTAGCACAGTGGGCATAGGACATCTCTTCAGCTACAATTGCCTCATCAAGGAAGGTTCCTCCTATTCCTCCGACCTCAGCAGGAGTAGAGACTCCAAGTAATCCCTGAGTTCCCATCTCCTTCCAGATCTCTCTGCTCGGTTGTCCGTTCTCTTCAAACGGAACCTGGAGCGGAGCTAATTTCTCTCGCATGAACCTGCGAACTATCTCACGAAACATATCGTTTTCTGTTGAAAATATGGACCTAGAACCGATCTCAAGCATGTTTCCAAGCTGAGCTGCTGCAGGTCTCATCCCTATTCCGGGTTCTCCTTCGTCAACAACTCCTGCTTTTTGTCTTTCAACAGAGTTTAAACTCAGACCCCGAGCTAGGACTGTAATAGGGGAACCCCGGAGTAATCCTGTGCACTTTGAGAGCATCATTGTCGATTTTTACTTTTAATTAACTCTCTCAAACCTGCAGGTTTCACTTGTATCTCGTATAACAGATTTCCTAATCCCCTTCCTTGTTTTAAATCAGCTGATACCTGGCTCCAGGGTACGACGGGAGTAGAGAGAGAGAGAGAGAGACTGATATTGAAGCCTGTCAGCTGAGAGTTAAAGTCAACTGTCCAGTCCGTGAGTTTAGTATCAATATTCACTCACTATCACCAGTCCCCAATCCTACAACCTAGCACGGATAGAGTACTTAGTGTTAAAGAGTAAGGGAAGCCGAGGAAAGGAGAAACCGAGCCCCGGCCACGGTGGTAAGGAGGAGAGCAGCCAGGGATGAGGAGGATGAGGATAGCGAGGAGGAACCTAAGGTTGAAGTTAAAACCAAGAGCAAGAAGAAACTGGATAATTTCTTCACGATGGAGTCGGCTAATCTACAGGAGGAAAGATTGAATGAGAGAATGTCACTCAGGGTAAGAAATTTTTATTTTTATATTTTGTTGCCTGTGTGGCTAGAGTAATGCCTGTGTGGCTGAGTTTATTGCCTGTGTGGCTGATTTATTGCCTGTGTGGCTGATTTATTGCCTGTGTGGCTGATTTATTGCCTGTGTGGCTGATTTCTTGCCTGTGTGGCTAGAATATTGCCTGTGTGGCTAGTTTTTTGGCCTGCGTGGCTAGAATATGGCCTGTGTGGCAGATTTATTGTTTGTATAGCTAGTTTATTGCCTGTGTGGCTAGAATATGGCCTGTGTGGCTTGTGTATTGCCTGTGTGGCTAGTTTTTTTTTATCTGATGCTGACTCATTGCCTGTGTGGCTAGTTTTTATCTGATGCTGACTCATTGCTTGTGTGGCCAGAATATTGCCTGTGTGGCAGATTTAATGATTATATGGCTAGTTTATTGCCTGTACGACAGATTTATTGCCTGTGTGGCTAGTTATATTGCATGTGTGGCTAGTTTTTTGACCGTGTGATTGGTTTTATTGACTGTGGGGCTAGTTCATTGTAGTTTATGGTTAAAGAGTTGTTTATGATTAAAATCTTAAGTATTTTAAGTTCGTAGTAAGCAATTATTTTATTTCTTTTTTAACTTGAAAACTTGTTATAAATCTTCTTATTTTTAATTTTTATTTTTTATTTTTGTTTGAACTTATTCTAATTATTGGGTGTTTATTCAGGATTTCAGGCGTTTATAGTTCGGAATGAGTAACTAATTTTATTGCTTTTTTAGCTTGAAAAACTTATCAATTTTATTAATTTTGCTTTTTTATTACTTTTTGAACTTAATGTTATTTTTGGGTTTATTCAGGGTTTAAGGCGTTTGTTAGTTAGTAATAAGTAAATTTATTTATTTTTAAGCTTGAAAATTTTTTTTAAGTTCCATAATTTTATTTTTTAAACTTATTTTTATCTTTTGTGTTTATTCAGGAATATAAACCTATTACTCCTGCGAATAAACTCTTCCAGAAGATAGCGCTTGATATACAGACTGCGAAGGAATATATGCAGAATGTAGGTAGAGCCCTAAAAAGGAGAGAAGAAGAGGAAGTCAAAGGAGTACAATCCGCAGTAAGGATACTAACAGAGACTCAAAAATACATAAACATTGTGTTCTCCAAGGATGTAGAGTTGGCGGCCTCCTTCGCAGGAGAAAGCTCAAGCTTGGCTCTTACGGAAACAGAAAACAAGAAGTTAGAGAGGTTGGATAAAGAGAGAGAGAAGAAGAACAATGCTGGATCTCAGTTCAAGAAACCTAAGATTGATAAATCTAACATCAAGTGCTACGCCTGTGGTGATTATGGTCATTATGCCGGAAGTTTGGAATGCGTTTATACAGTGAGACAGTATACAGAAGCTGGAGAACCTCTGAAGACTGCGGCCAAGGGACAACAAGCGATAGGCTGGACTAGATGAGGCAGTTCGACGGATCAAGCTTCCAAAATCTATAGTCTGATATCCGAGCTGGAAACGAGGTTCCAAATAGATAATTCTGTAGATATTCATTCTGAAAACTCTTATAAGTTTAATAAAGAAATTTTGAAAGCCGATCCGTGGGTTTTAAATGTCTTGGAAAAAGGATTAATAATTCCTTTTAGAGTATATGAGTATTTTGAAAAGAACAATAAATCGGCTTTAANTAGTTAAATTAAATATAATTAAATATATTTTATTATAAAAAGTGTTCAATGTTTGCGTTAGGGTTCGTCCTATATTTATATATTTCATAATAAAAAATATAAATATGTATAGCTTTCACCTAAAAACAAAGAGATTCATGATGTAAAGGCAAGCCAAGGCAATAACATGCATTAATGTATTTCAGAGGAAGTGGAATCAAGACTGAAAATGGGAAGAATAATGGGATCGATTGATATCTGAGAAACCTGGAAACAGGGCGGGTTGGAGATACAGTAGGTTTAGATAAAGGAGAGGAGAGGATAACGAAGGAGATCTTTCATTTTCCCATTCAGTTTTGTTTCTACGAGAAAATGGCTGTCATATCTCTGAGAAAGTCGGTAAAACATTTTTAACCTAGTGGGAAATAATTTACAGATGTTAAATAATGTATGTAAAAAATATAAACACACTCTTTTTTATTAAATTAACGTATTCTATAGATAAAAATCAAATTACTCTTATCTTTAGACTTGTCAGTTGTTCCAGCAGGGCGGAGCAAGGTTTGATCCGCTCCGAGTTCTTAGCTCAAGGTTCGAGTCAACAGAACCAAACTTTGGTATTATGTTCGACATTGACGGAGTAATTGTTCGAGGACGAACCGTTCTACCGTTTGCTCCAGAGGCCTTCAGTAAACTTTTTGATCAGAAAACTCAACAATTCAAGGGATGATATTTTTATGATCTGTTATTTAAATATTTAAGATTTAATATAAAAAATGTGTTTGTCCATTTCCACGACGGATTCTCCTATTCGGTTTTGTTTAATGTTTAAACTTTAATTGAGAAAGTATGACAGAGACCCAAGATTTATATTAAATTGATTATTTCTTACTTACAAAATATTTTTATACTTGATTTTATATCTCAAGTATATATAATTTAATTTGATACGAGCAATCGATCAATTCAATAATCAATCAAATCAAATGATAATATCCCTACTCCAGATTCCCTCTGTTTTTGTGACGAACGCCGGGAACTCCATCCGGCAGGAGAAGGCAGATAAACTCTCAGAGTGGTTGAATATACCTATAACAGAGGACCAGGTGGGACAGAGAGAAAATAACTATATAGTAAGACCCAAAAAATTGTAGAACAATAAGACTCAAGTTATGATTTTGAATACATGATACAATAACAATTATTTGGTGCAGGCAGACTTATATCACTTAACAAGTTGATTTTCTAGCTACTGGTAACAATATTTGATTTATAATACCATTATTATACAGAAAATTCATTAAATGACTTCTTCCCATGGGGGGTGATAGTTTTCTACCAGTGTGCTCGGTTAGCTTTACAGTACACTTACAACTGTTTACTGTTTATAAATAATACCAGTGTGCTCGGTTAGCTTTACAGTACACTTACAACTGTTTACTATTAATAAATAATACCAGTGTGCTCGGTTAGCTTTACAGCACACTTACAACTGTTTACTATTAATAAATAATACCAGTGTGCTCGGTTAGCTTTACAGTACACTTACAACTGTTTACTGTTAATAAATAATGCCAGTGTGCTCGGTTAGCTTTACAGTACACTTACAACTGTTTACTATTAATAAATAATGCCAGTGTGCTCGGTTAGCTTTACAGTACACTTACAACTGTTTACT